ATAAGAACTACCAGGTTGTTGGTACCTTTTTATATTCCCACAAATATGAGAGTTCCAGTTGTTCTATATTCTTGTCAACACTTGATATTAATCATTCTTATAAATTCTAGCCATTATAGTAGGTGTGTTATTTCTTTGTGGCCATATGTTTTTTGCTGTTTGTTTCTTTTTTTTCAATTACAGTTGACATAAAATATTATATTAGTTTCAGATGTACAACACAATGATTAGACATTTATATTATTTGCAAAGTGATAGCCCTGATAAGTCTAATACCCATCTGAAACCATATCCCGGACTTTTTTTTTTCTCACATCACATGGGTAATGTCAGATGGGCCAAAGTTGTAACAAGGTTTGTGGGAAGCACATCTCACATAAGTGCGTGACCACCACGCTTATGAGCTAACAAAGGATCCCCATAACTATTTTTATAACTGGCAATTTGTGCTTCTTAATCTCTTCACCTTTTTCACTATTCCTCTAACCCCCTCCCATCTGGTGACCATTAGTTTGTTCTCTATATCTGTGCATTTGTTTCTGTTTTGTTTGTTCATTTACTTTATTTTTTAGATTCCGCATATAAGTGAAATCACATGGTATTTGTCTTTTTCTATCTGACTTATTTCGCTTAGCATAATACCATCTAGGTCCATCCATGTTGTCATATATGGCAAGATTTCATTTTTTTTTTATGACCCAGTAATATTCCATTATCACATTTTTTTATCCACTCATCTATCTATGGACACTTAGATTGCTTCCATATCTTGGCTGTTGTTAATAATGCTGCAGTACACATAGGAATGCATATATCATTTAAAAAATATGTTTTATTGATTTTTTCTTTTTTTTTAAATAATAAATCTTTATTGTTCAGATTATTACACTTGTTCCTCTTTTTTCCTCCCATAGCTCCCTTCCACCCGGTTCCCACCCCACCCATGCCCTTACCCCCCCCTCCCCCCCACTGTCTTCATCCCTAGGTGTATGATTTTTGTCCAGTCTCATCCCTCACCCCCCATACCCCCTTTCCCCCGAGAATTGTCAGTCCACTCTCTTTCTATGCCCCTGATTCTATTATATTCACCAGTTTATCCGGTCATCAGATTTTTTATTCACTTGATTTTTAGATTCACTTGTTGATAGATGGGATTTGTTGTTCATAATTTCTATCTTTACCTTTTT